GCTTTTACTGGCCACAAGAGGCTCTTTGGGATTTGGAAAGGTGTAGTCCATGTCAGGCAGGTTTACTGGAGCAGTAGCACGAGAAGCTTTGATAAGCAGAGGCTCCCAGTCAGTTAGCACCGCCTGAACCAGTTTATGGGCTTTTCCCCATGACTTAAGGTTTGTGTGTGTTTGTTTACACTTAAATCATGCATTGGTGTTCGCACATAAAGTGTATCATGTTCTCTTAAGAATGTTCTGAATCTCTCTCACACACACAAGGTACCTGTCCTTTAACTCTGTTGTTCCAGCCATTGCATTTTGAAGGTGCTGCTGTTGTTCAGAGCTCAGGTCGTTGAGTGTTTGTAACACAATCGCTGCTCGTTCTTCACTGTTTGCTTGTAACTGGGTGAGCTGGATGCCGTGTCGTGCCAGGCCAGCTTCCAGATTTTCTTGGCTGTAAGGGTCATCTCCAAAGATGTTGTTGAGAGCTGTTGAGTCCTGCTCACTGTTGTCTAGCATGCCCTCCATCCAAAGTTGTGTCGGCGTGCGGTTGTTAGCCGATCTGATTCTGTGGTTGTTCCATGTACGTCTGAATAAATCGAGTCGTTTTTGGATTTCTGTCTTATAAACTATTTGTAGTGCCATTTTCTGAGTGTTATCTTCAGGGTTCAAGATTTGCTCATCTTCAAAGGAATAGAACAGCATGTAGAAGTAGTGCACAACCTGCGGGAAGACATCTCTCCAAAGACGTTCGATACGTTGGTTGTGTACAGACTGGCCTGTAATGTGCCTTGCATGTCCTTGTCCCTGCAGAAGGTTCATTAAGAGAGCAACTAGAGTGTTCTCCCCTCCGTGGTCCGATCTGACTCTGGAGGGTAACCCGTCCAGACAGGTGGTTCGAACAAAAGAAGTCAACACTGTCAAAGCTGTGTTGTCCGTGCTGCAGTTGATGTAAGGTATTAGTCTGGAGTTCCCATCAATACCAGCATGCGTCACAAACCCCCACCTGAAAAACAAAATAATAAAGAATAATTGATTACTTCTTTACAGTTAACCCCATATACACTATTCTATTACATTTCTACGAATAGATTTATGACCAACTGATTTTAACACATGCACAGTGAAATTGAGTCTGCACAACCCATCCAATATGGCTCCCACCAGTACACAGAAATACAACAGTGGACCCCTGATTACAGAATGAGACGCATATGGCCATCGATGTGCCACAGACTATTCGGAAAGGGCACATAGGACACACAGCTTAGTCATTTAGCTTCAGTAGACAGCTAGAGGAGTCTGGGTCAACATTATATGCTGTAAATCATAATGATGAGCCATTAAAAACAGATCCATACACATGTTGGTTGAAGGAGTTATATAAACATCAGCATGACTGATTGTGCCAATGTTGCTATTTCATAATAAACGTTGATTAAATTGAACCTGGTAGTTTATTTTTCTGCTGAAGGCCTGCTCATTGTTCAGAAGGCTGTTTGGAAATTACATCTTTAACAGGCTTTTATTTTGAATCACAGAGTGGATACTTCCTCTCCCAGTATTTCTTTTGATAAAACATTCATGTAAATATGCATTTTCACACTTTATTCTGCATATATATTAAGCACAGAGCTGGCAGTTAACAACACTGAAAGTTAATCAGGCTTTAAGGGGTTATATTTTGGCGGCAGGGAATTCGAACTGGCCAGCCAATAGGAAGGTTCCATGATTTGCATTTAGTGCTACTAGTACTACTAGTAAACATTTTAGCGCTTACTAGCAGTACTAGTAATGTCAAAATGTGTTTACTAGTAGTACTAGTGACCATTTTTGCGATTACTAGTACTACTAGTAGACATTTTGGCGCTTACTAGTAATACTAGTAGGCAATTTTGTCTTACTAGTACAGCAAAATGGCTTACTAGTAAGAGCAAATAAATGCGCACTAATAGGATATCGAATAAATGCTCAAAGGGCTTTTCATATCATTCTAATAAGGTCAAGTCCTTGACTAGTATGCCAAAATGCCATACTAGTACAAAAACTTTCCTACTAGTTTGGTAAAAAGCTTTACTAGTAAAGGACAAAATGACATTTACTAGTATAACTAGTAAGAGCAAAAATGTCTACTAGTACTACTCTTAAACATTTTTAAACTTTATTTAAAGGCAAAATGTATGAAAATGTGCTTACTAGTAGTACTAGTGGCCATTTTTGTGCTTACTATAAGTACTAGTACGCAATTTTGCTTTACTAGTAAGGCAAAAGTGCGCAAAGCTTTACTAGTGTGGCATTTTGTCTTACTAGTACGGCAAAATGGCATACTAGTAAGAACAAAAGTCTTAATAGTAAAAGGGAAAAAATGAGTACTAGTAGGATATCGAATAAATGCTGAAAGGGCTTTCCATAGAAGTGCGTTAGACTGTGACTCTGCCACCTGCTCAACTCTGGGTTGTCATAGATTTGGCCCACTAATAAACTTGGCCAGGTTTCTAGACATGAGAGCTGCTCCATCCCAAGTGGGATGGATGCCGTCTCTCCGAATCAGACCAGGTCTTCCCCAGAAAGTCTGCCAATGATCTACAAAGCCCACATCGTTTGCTGGACACCACGGAATGACGACATGCGGCTATACATGCCACTCAGGGTTTGTTAGCCTGCAGATCTGGCTACTTGAGCATTAACAGCATATTAGTTTTAATTACTATTTATGAACAGTTGGGTATTTTGATGGATTTTCAGGCACATTTATTCTACATTGTTTCACCCCTCCTTTTGGCCCTCCTTTCAAAACCGCTCCCCCAAAACACATGTGGATGTGCAGTGAGTGCACAGGCAGAGTGCATGCAGGTAGGTAGGCAGGTACAGGGCTATGTAGAGACCTTTGGAGTGCTCAAAGTATGAAAGGAGCACATAGGGCTGTATTTATATCATGACGTATTCTTTCTACATAATGTGAATATATACAGATGCTTCTGTATCAATACAGTAGCATATGCTCTGTCGCAGTTTTGAAAAATTAACAGAACATAAAAGACCATTTTAAGTTTAAACCTTTAACCTTTAAACCAGCCTCAGCGATATAGAGACTTCTGGTGTTCTTAGAGAAAGGTTGCTGATTGATGCTAATCAGATCAACCATTACTTTAAACACATTTGTCCTAACAAATCGGCAGGCCCGGATGGAACAATCTCTGGACACTGGTACTGTTCCTAGCCTCTGGAAAAGGGCTGTAATCACACCGGCCCCGAAGATAGCCAGGCCCGTAGTAAATAATGATTTTAGACCGATCGCGTTAACGTCTGTGATTATGAAATGTTTTGAAAAGTGTATTGTGTCAATGTTAAAAGCAGAGGTTGCTACCAACCCAGATCCTTTACAGTTTGCCTATAGGCAGGGGAGGGGAACTGAGGATGCTATTATTAGCATTATGCACCTAATTCTGAAGCATTTAGAGAATCACAAAGCCTATGCTCGTTTACTTTTTATCGATTTTAGTTCGGCCTTTAACACCATTCAAACACCCTTGTTAATCTCAAAGATGGAGCAGTTGAGTGTAAACCAAGCTATCATAAAGTGGTACTCATCTTTTTTAACTGACAGAATTCATTGCGTTAAAGTAAACAATTGTCTTTCACAACAAAGAAAGACTAGCACAGGTGTCCCACAAGGCTGTGTCAGTTCTCCAATTCTTTTTACTTTATTTACAAATGAATGTTCAAGTAAGCATTCAAAAAACTATATTTTTTTAAATATTCAGACGACACAGCCATCTTAAGTCTTCTCGATGAAGACGATAATATTAGAGATGTATACCTGCCAGAAATAAGTCCGTTTGTTGAGTGGTGTGATAAAAATGATTTAATAATAAATATAAAGAAAACAGCGGAGATCATATTCGATCCAAAAGGTATTGGGGACCATCATCAAGTGGTATAGCAAGAGACTATATTTTTTTTACGTAGATTACGTTTTTATGGGGTGAATAAGAAAATTATGATGCTGTTCTACAAGGCTGTTTAGTATTGTTAAGTATGGTGTAACAGTATGGTCTGGGAACCTATCTATACAGCTAAAATCCAAATTGTCACATCTGGTGTTGACAGCACTTAAAACAGTTGGAAATGAGGAATCTTTGAATCTCCAACAGTTATTTGAGAATAGCGCTTTAAATCAGGTGCAGAAAATTGTGGGGGACCAAACTCACTTTCTGCTCTCTCAGTATGAATTGCTCCCCTCCGGCAGAAGATATAGAGTTCCACTGTGCAAACTAAACCGGTATAAAAATTATTTTGTTCCTGTGTCTACACGTATGTTGAATAACAGTCTATCTTATTAATTTTAAATTTGTAAATTAATTGTCTTTCCTCTTTTTATACTTTTTATACTTGTATATTGTATATTTCTATGTACATGCAGCAACCATGTAGTCCAAAACAAATTTCCTTTCGAGGACAATAAAGTATACTACTACTACTACTACTAAACGTTAAAGAATATTTTCATTGCACCTATTCATAACTCTGGAATTAGACAGTGAAATTACTTAAATTGTTCAACTCTTATGGCTTTTCCTTCTCTGTTATAGAGAATAATAAAGAATAGCTGTCAAGATCATTATTCAAAATCAACATGGCCTCTGCATGATGATACATATCTTATTGTGAGATTGTAGGGAATAACCAGCTCTTGATTTAAAACATTGTGGGCTGACATACAGGGAACAGTTGCTTTTGAGGAGTTTGCAGAGGATGTTGCTGCTGATACTGCTGGAGGTGATAGACCAAAGATTTTTATGGATTAAACAATTGTAATGTGACCATGACAAGATGTAAAGACTGCTGACAGTGTTTGGAAGAGGATCACTGTGACTAACCTACTGTACTGCTGCAACTGCTGCCAATAAACACACACACACACACACACACACCCACACACACACGTATACAATCTCTCTTGATTTCCTTTAAAGGGAGAGGGGAGGAGCAGCACTGATCAGGTGGTTCAGAAAGCTGAGAAGTTCAGTCATTTAGACTCCATGTTGTTTGGACATAGCAGAAGGAGGACAAGTGAAGGCTGAGTCAGGGTGAGTGTTAATCCAACATTTTTATTATTTATGATCAAGGGTCAGTTTTCTCCCTGTGGACTGTAGAGGAAAGAAATAACAGTTTACCTATCGAGATGTATCCGTACAGTAAACATGGAGTGAGTAGTGGTGCAATATAAAATGATTCTGTAATGGGAGCGTTATTTGATAGGGGATCAGAATACGCTACCCCAGAAATTATGTTATAATATAATTAAAAAACAGAACATGTCATAATACTGTGAGAGTTATAACTTTATGGGATTGGAAAAGGGAACACATAAGGTAGCATTTTTCGACAAGGCAGCATAGATCAGAACACCAGCCGAAGAGAGGACATGGCGAAGGAGGTGGTGGAACTAAAATGCAGCATGACAGAGCAAGAAGAGGAGGTGGGTTAGTGGGGTATTTATGAAAGTGTCAGGAGTAATGTGATTGTACGTGAGGTCCTGCTCCTGAAACTCAGCTAATTAGCTCCACTTATTGAATCGTATATTCATCTCATATGAAAGATTCAGGCAAAACGAAAGAAAAAAAATATGACACAATAGATATATGGGGTATAACAGAACAAGCAACAACGGCATTAAAGAAAGATATTTCAATCTTTACACAGTTTGAATTTCATTGCTTTAGGGGAGAGCCGGGACGATTGAAACACTTTTCAGATATACATCATTTTAAAATTTAACGCGAAATCATTTGTTGTTGTCATCAACAACTCACGTGTGTGTTCTATCAATCCCAGGTGTTATCTTGTTAAAATGTGGAACGACTTCAGTACAATTACACTTTGAAGGAAAGTTGCGCGTTGTTTCATGCGTCCCTGCAGGGTGGTGGATGGCACAATGGATAAGACAAGTGCTTTTGGTGCGAGAGACTCGGGTTCAATTCCTCACTATGACCGATCTGCCTATATGTCCCTGAGCATGACACTTAACCCTTAGTTGCTCCCGAGGCGTGCGACCTCTGACATGTATAGCAATTGTAAGCAGCTTTGGATAAAAGCTTCAGATAAATGTAATGTTACTGGGTGGGACGGAAGAAACACAACCATTAAATAGTTTAAGTTATTCTTGTTTTTATTTAGAAAGCTTGACACTGCCCTTCTTTGCATACTCATTATGTCCTTTTTCGTAATAAAAAAATAGTATAAATATAACTTAGCTAGCTAACTAGAATATTCAACAGCTAATGCACATTTGGATCAGATATTGGCTGCTCTTTTTATCTACATCTGCAGCTTGTTTTCCTGGTCCAGCCTGCAGCCTGGTGGACTCTGCCCCCCTCCATATCTAGATAAGGTAGAATGGCTGCGTGCCTGACGTTTCACTAGCTTCTAAACTGTAAAACGTTGACATTTAAAACTTCAGGATATGTGAAAGTACTAACTAATCATTTATGTGATCACGACCATGGCACATGGAACAATAAACACAACTCGTCATTAAAAAAAAAAGATCGTTTGAGTGAATTTACTTTCTGTTCTTTCATATAACTCCGTGAATGTGTGACGTATCCACCTGATTTTTCCCTGTTCTGTTAAGTACTGTGGACTGTATGTGCTGAGGTAGTTTGGCATATCAGACATGTATGGTCTCCAATTTCTTTTGGGCGGTGCGGCTTTTGTCTGTAAACAGGAGATGGTTTCAGCCCTCAGTCTGATGAGGTGAGATTTAAATCATCAATCCCTTTACAAAATGACAGCAACATATAGTCCCAATTACAACTGTCATCACAGGATTCTACTGTTGGAATGACCTGCAGATATAATAAACACAATGCTCTGGTTGATAATACAGCCTAATAATTTGATGTCAGCAGCTGTTTGCACTCCTTTTGTCACGATTATAGCAGATGCATTGGTGTGATAGGCCACCAACACAACTAATTATTTTATTTAGACCAGCACCTGCATGGACATTCACTGGTCACTGTAGCTTTCCAGGTGAATTCTTAAACGATTCCATTCGCTCAGTAAAGTGACAGCAAATATTGTGGTACAAAAAAAAAAACTGCAGTAATAAACTAGACAGCACAGACAGATAAAAACATAATTAATATTTTAGCTTCTATAATCCATGTTTAGACGCTCTGATGGAGCTCAGGATTGATCAGGAGGACGGCTGCTTTGCTTCAAACAGTTTCACTGTATAAACCTGGACTGTGTGTCAGACTGTTTGGATGTGTAGAAGAACACAGAACATGAATTAATATTAGATCCTGACCGATCTTGTCCACGTGTCGGGACCCAGACAAATTGCACATCAACTCCAGCTCTTTGTATTCTCAGCATTATTGTACATATTTCAATCAATAGATCATCTCTTACTGTCTTTTTGGAATTCAAACTATACAGGGCTGCAGTGGAGTCTGAACAAATGACAACTCTCTCAGGCCTCACCTCTTCTATCCACTGTAACCCTAAAATAATAGCAACCATTTCTGCTGTAGATACAGATAATTTATCTTTAAGTCCTTTACATATAACTACATCAAACTCAGGTATGTATGCTCCTGATCCTGCATGTTCAGTCCCTGGATCTTTTGATCCGTCAGTAAATAATAGCATTTAATTATAAGAATTCCTCTTCACATGATCTTGAACCAAATATCCAATATTATCCACATTACTTTCACACCATTCTTTCGTCTTCTCTAGAAGCTTCAAGTCCACATTGGGCACAGGAAATATCCACTGAGGAATATTACCCCATTCAGTATTTGGTCCGTATTCTATGTTGTTTAATCCGTATTCTTCTGCTACTGCATTAATATTCCAGCCAAATGCTTTACCTTTCCGTTGTTGTGTATATTCCCAACAGTCACACAGAACCTTTGTTGCAGGTTTTTCCTCTCCAGATCTTTATAACTTGACCCAATATGCTAAAGACAACTTAGAACGTCTCAAATATAATGGCAATTCATCAGCTTCTACCAACAGTGCATTAGTAGGGGTTGTATTCACTGCACCTAAACTGAGTCTTAGAGCTCTGAACTGTAGTCTGTCTAGTTTTTCTAAAATACTCTTATCTGCTGCTCCATATACCATACATCCATAATCAATACACGATCGTATTAAGGCCCTATAAATATCTAGTAGTTTATCTGCTCCCCATTAGTAACCAGAAACTGACCTTATGAGATTCAGTACCTTTTTTACATTTTGTTTCAACCAGTTTAACATGATTCCTCCATACACATTTCTCATCAAACCACAATCCTAGATACTTGAACTCTTTCACTCTTTCCATATTTTGTCCATACAATTTAAGCTGTGTGTTATTAATATTTCTGTTTCTGGTAAAGAACATATGGCTATATATCTTAAATCCCAAATCATATGACCATTTTCAACTTTTAATACAGCACTCTGTATGCTATTAGTCACATGTCTAATTTTTTTCCCTCTTTTCCATAAAGCCCCATCATCTGCATAAAATGATGACCCAATATCTATATCAACATGTAGAAAAAGGTCATTTATCATGATGTTAAATAAAATAGGGCTTAGAGCACTCCCTTGAGGAATACCATTTTCAATTTCAAAATCCTCCGACACAGCATCTCCAACTTTAACATGGAAAGTTCGGTTAGACAGGAAGTCTTCCGCCAGTACCCACTTCATGTATTTTTATCAGTAGTCCTTCTCTCCACATTGAATCATAAGCTTTCTCAATATCAAAATATACAATAGCCATGACCTTTCATACTAACTGCCTTTTCTGCCTCATTGCTAACTTTAACTAAAGCGTCTACCGTAGATCTTCCTTTACGAAATCCACTTTGGTATTTGTTTAGCAGTCCTCTTTGCTCTAAATAATATTACAATCTACAGACAATTATCTTTTCCATCCATTTACACAAGCGTGATGTTAAGGCTTTAGGTCTGTAGTTTCCTGCATTAGTTGTGTCTTTACCAGGTTTACCAGAAGGTACTATCAGAGCACTTTTCCAACTATCAGGTATTACACCTTCTCTCCATATCTTATTGAACAGTTTTAGTATAATTTCCAAGACTTCTTTTGGTAATTGTCTAAACATAGCATAGCATAGTTGATCTTGTCCTGGAGCTGTATTTCACTTCCCTCTAGGACCATTTTTAACTCATGTAATGAAAAGTCCATGTCAAGTGCCGATTCATCACTATCTTTTTTCTAAGTTACATCACTATTTGTTCTTAAAATATCCTTTTCCCGTTGTTTATGTATTTCATCTAAATGGCTCCCACTATGTATATTTGCAAACGTCTTACCTAATAGCTCAGCTTTCTCCTTATTTGTAATTGACAGGTGTTCTCCATCTATCAGCACTGGGATTTTAACAGATTTTATTTTCCCACTCATCTCAACAAATGTCACCCAATTTAACTTCTCTACCAATGGAGGAGCAGAATTGCCTCCATGCATTCTTCTCGGATGACTTAATTATTTTCCGTGCCATAGCCCTCTTTGATAGTCAACCAGGTTATCTTGGCTCAAATGCTTTCTTAAAATTCAGAATGCGTGATTTCTGTCTTTTATGGCATTTTTACATTCATCGTTCCACCATGGAACTATTTTCTTTTTCTCATTCATGGTGCTCTTGCAGGTTGTTGCAGCACTAATAATCATGGAAGTCACTGCTACTGCGCAGCTCTTTACATCACCCTCCATCGATATTCTTTCAGTATACTCAGTACAAAGTTCTCTGAATTTTTCCCCAGTTACCTTTATGAAAACACCATCTCTGTATTACATAACCATCCTGAACATACATATCAGAGTTCATGGAACACAATATTGGAAAGTGATCACTCCCTATGTTGCTATTCTTTACATTCCATTCACATAAATTACTTTTTATAGTAGTGTGTGAGGAGATTTTATTTCTTTGAATGTTGTTTCGTTTTAGGGATTTTTAATTTGGCTTTGATTTCAGGAAAACTATTGACATAACATTCTAACCATAGAGATTTCCTGATAGTGGTTTGGGTTATTTTGATCCAGAGGTGGTGACGTATAATAGGTGGCTCATTTTAATCACATTACATGTACTATTAAGTGTGTTATTTGGGTTTTATTTTGTTATATTGGCGTGTTGAAGTGTTTATTTATACCCCCTTTTATAAGATCCACACTGTAGAACTATAGACGGCAGACACTCTTTACCAATAGTTTTCCACTCATAAACGAAACTCTCCTCTCGCATTGTGTTTTAAGTATTATTGGTCGTACTATTTTAAGTTGCTGAAAGGATCGATCTAACGAGGAGCGTGGAGCATAGGGAACAGGGTTTCCCTCCTCTCTAGCCCGAAGTGCAGAACAAAAGACGCGCTCTTGTAACTACCGGGCCCAGGTGGCTCCAACAACTGATGATTTTAACCACGCCTTCTGACATCTGCAACACATGATACAAAGAGACAGACATCCCAGCAGCCGAAAGATGGGGGATGCCACAGCCGTCCCTCTCTGGTAACATTTACCAGAGAAGAGCTCTTAAACATTGGACTTTCAACTGCTCATACCATTCCACCGCTCCTTAATGAACCCGGAACTTTCCCGGAGTTATTAGTTGGATGAGCAGCCACTCTGTTTGGGATCCTCCGGAGACTTCTGCAGATCTGCAGCCCTCTGTTTCACCTAATCCTGGTTCGCCCCGCACATCCCGGACAGAGCACTTTACCTACCGGGATTTAATCTCATCCGTGCGGATCGCAAAAGGGAGTGGGGATAGCTTCAGAAGTGGGGATAGAGTCCTGTACAACCAGGCCAGGAACACTCTGAGTAAAGAGATCAAAGCTAAAAAGAGGAGCTACGCTGAAAAGCTAAGTAACAGCTTTACAGCCAACAATCCTGCATCAGTGTGGAGAGGCCTGCGGACACTCACAAAATACACAAGACCATCACCCAACACTGCTGGTACTCAACAACTGGCAGACAAGCTGAATGGCTTTTATTGTAGGTTTGAAAAGCCCACAGTCACACCACTCCCCTGCTCCAACACCATCTTCAAACAACCACTTTCCCCCTCTGACACGCTGCCACCCCCACTCTCTGACCCCTCTTCTGCACTCAGTAAAGGATGTGAGCCACCTCTTTCAAAGGCAGAAGATCAGGAAGGCTCCTGGACCTGAAGGTGTGTCACCATCCTGCCTGTAAATCTGTTCAGACCATCTGGCCCCAATCTTCAACAGATCACTGGAGCTGTGTGAAGTTCCCTCCTGCTTCAAACGCTCCACAATCATCCCGGTCCCCAAGAAACCCTCCATCTCTGGACTAAATGACTACAGGCCTGTCGCCCTGACATTTGTAGTCATGAAATCCTTTGAAAGACAGGTGTTGGCCCACCTGAAGGACATTACAGGCCCCTTGCTGGACCCCCTGCAGTTTGCCTACAGGGCTAACAGGTCAGTAGATGATGCTGTCAACTTGGGACTGCATTACATCTTGCAACACCTCAACTCTCCAGGGACATATGCAAGGATCCTGTTCATGGACTTCAGCTTGGCGTTCAACACCATCATTCCAGACATCCTCAGCACCAAACTCACCCAGCTCACTGTGCCAGCCTCCACCTGTCAGTGGTTCACAATCTTCCTGACTGACAGGAGTCAGCAGGTGAGGCTGCTCTTCTCCCTCTACACCAACAACTGCACCTCAGGAGACCCATCTGTCAAACTCCTGAAGTTTGCTGAAGACACAACGGTCATCTGCCTCATCTGGGACGGTGATGAGTCGGCCTTCAGACGGGAGGTTGATCAGCTGGCTCACTGGTGTGGCCAGAACAACCTGGAGCTTAACACGCTCAAAACTGTGGAGATGACCATGTACTCCAAGAAACAGCCCTGTGTCTGCTGTGGAATTCTTCAGGTTTCTGGGATCCACTATATCCCAGGACCTGAAGTGGGAGCCCAACATGGACACCATCATCAAGAAGGCCCAGCAGAGGATGCACTTCCTGCGCCAGCTCAGGAAGCTCAACCTGCCTAAAGAGCTGCTGATCCACTTCTACAAAGCCATCATCCAGTCTGTCCTCCGCACGTCCATCACTGTCTGGTTTGGATCTGCCACCAAAAAGGACAGGAGCAGACTACAACGACAGTCAGGATTGCAGAAAAAATCATCGGTGCCAACCTGCCCTCCATTTAGGACAGGATCCATCTCACCCCAGACACAACCTGTTCCAGCTTCTCCCCTCTGGTAGGCACAACAGAGCAAAAACCCAAAACCGCCAAAACCAACAGACACAACAGTTTCTTCCCACAAGCCATCACTCTGATGAACAGCTGATTTCTGACTCACAGTGTCAGGAACAACTCCTGTTCAATAACCCAGTAACTCTGTCTTTAATCAGCAACCTGTCTACTGGTTACCACTTATTACTTAGTCACCATTCTCTATTTCAGTGCTGTTCACATTGTTATATTGTCATGTTGTATATACTGTATACCAATTCACCTACCTCAAGTCATAACTCCTGCACAAAATACTTATTTATTCCAGCATCCTTTGCACTACGCTCCATCGCACTGTGTACATGTGTACATGTATACATGTATTGTGTACCTGTATATCACATCCACCTCCGACATGTACATAAAAATTCTAATAATAATTTTACTCCTGCATCCTTTGTACTCTGATCACTGCGCTATTTGTCAATATGTCTATATTGTCTTAGTTCATAGTGTGTATATTAGTGTTGTCTATACTGTAGTCTATGTCTGATTTTATTTTATTATTGTGTTATTGTATTTTTGTATGAGTAAGCACATCGTGAGCAATGTACAATCCTGAGTCAAATTCCTCGTATGTGTACACATACCTGGCAATAAAGCTGATTCTGACTCTTATTCTGGAAAAACCTTGTCTCTGATCTTTTATGTGGTCTTACCTGTGCTAGTGGGAATCCCAGGGTTGGTAATAACTGTAATCAATTTCACATTTAAACTCTTTGGGTGAAAGTCCCAAGGTGGCGTTGTTGATCTCTTAATTATCAATTTGGGCTGAGTCCTCCATTGGGCCCGGTTACATTTACTCATTTGACATACACTTTTATCCAAAGCAACAGTTACACTAGTAATGATCGCAGAAGGCCTATCTATTGAGTATTGACCTGATTGATTTTCGGGTTTTGAAAAATTTGGAACCTGGATCTTATAGAACCAGGTCTCGATCCCCATCCCTAGACTTGACTATTAAACTAGCTCCTCCTCTTAATCTCTTTTCACCAGTTTGTTTTCCTCGTCTTTATGTTATACGGCTTGTATGCACAACATATTTGCCTCAACACCCTCTGAAGTGCATAAGATGAGTGATTGTGTGGAGGAAGGGGAGGAGAAAGCAGAGTCTGCAGTATCCAGCTGTCTGTCTATAAAGAGTGACCAGTCCAAGGATCCTCCACCACAGTTCAGTAATGAACCTGGACCCTCAGACACTCAGTAAGGGAACTGCCAGTTACTTTCTAACCACCAAATTATCAGTAATGGCAGTATACTGTATCTACTGTAATTCACATGAAATTAATTAAAACATCTTGGTGTTTGCAGAGGTCGGTACCACACCCAGAAAGCAGAGTCTGCAGTATCCAGCTGTCTGTCTATAAAGAGTGACCAGTCCAAGGATCCTCCACCACAGTTCAGTAATGAACCTGGACCCTCACACACAAAGTAAGAGAACTGCTACTAACTTTGGTTTATATAATTACTGTTATGATTGGATTGGCCAAAATCTAAGACATTGTTTTCTATTTTACGGATAGATAAGCTACACAAATGTGGGATTTATATTCTACTTTAATTTAAGTATTTCATATTGTACATGTATATCTATGAAGGAAAAGGCTCCATTGATGAGGACTGTCTTTTAGACTAACTATCTCAGAGAATCTCAGTTCAGTTCAATTAAATATCATTTATATAGCGCCAATCATTTATCTCATAGCGCTTTTCATAAAACAGCAGGTCTAGACCGTACTCTGTGATATTATTTACAGAAACCCAAGGCAAGGAAAAACTTTCTTTTAAGAGGCAGAAACCTCGAGCAGAACCACGGCTCAGGGTGTGCGGCCATCTGCCTCGACCGGTTGGGGGTGAGAGAGAGAGTGAGAAAGGGCGAGAGTAAGAGATGTGATGTAAATTTTAATGTTAATGATAATAATAACAACTAGAACTGCAAGCAGTTGTAAGCGGGGTCCAAGCCTCCCAGCGCAAGCCGCCCTCTCGCCCCACAGAGGGTGCGCGAGTCGACCCAGGCGCCCTGCTGTGGCTCGGGGGGCCCATGGAGAATAAACGGCCAGAGTTTGAAATTAAAGGGACTTGCGGGTATGGAGATATAAAATGAGTGGATGTCTATGGGAGCATTATTTGATATATAATAGCCCCACCTAGAGGCCAATTGACACTAAATTTTGCACAGCTCATCAGGGGGACATACCACATAAGGTTGTCAAGTTTGGTATTGATCGTCCATTCTAAGATATGACATCACATTGTGTTTTTACCATTTCTCGCAAGGATTTGTTAGCTTATAATTGTAATAGTTTTTGGCGTTTCGATCTGGGGAGCCTGCGTCAGCTTGGTCCAGAGGTCTTCCGTGCAAAGTTTGGTGCCGATCGGACGTGTCGCTTTGGAGGAGTTAATTAAAATAGGTGTTTCAGTTGTCTCAATTTTGCTAAACGAATACGTCATCGCACAGAGGCGATTCCTATACCATCCCCCAAACACGTAGACATAAGGTTTATGAATGTGCGATGTAATGGTGCGTAGTTATGAGGCAAAATGTACATTGATTCAGAATCCCATTGAAATGAATGGGATTTTCCCACTGTATTTCAGCTTTGATTGTAGCGCCACCTATAAGCCGAATTGCAAACACTTTTCCAGGTGTCATCAGGAGCCCATGGGGAACAATTGACCCCAATTTGGTATCAATTGGACTTGTGGTTATGGATTGGTTATGGTATAAAATGCATGTAAGTCAATGTTTTTTTTTTTCTGCAATAACAGCACCACCTATGGTCATATTTGGGTTAACTATGGTCCATGGAGTCAGGGGACCATCCTGAACAATTCGGCTCAACTTTTATGTCAATGCGACTTGTGGTCGTGGTATAGAGGAACCAATATTTTGTGTTAGAGATATATGTTTAGACTGCTTTGCTTCCCTCAATCTTTACCAACTAACTTCAATCATTTCTTCATCTAAACCATCAACCTGCCTCTTAGACCTCATCCCGACAATCAACAGGCTATGTACCACAGTACTTTACAGTAGCTGTAATTAAACCTCTTCTGAAAAAGCCCAAACTTGATCCAGATGTTTTAGCCAACTATAGACCTATATCTAACCTTCCATTTCTCTCTAAGATTCTGGAGAAAGCAGTTGCTAAACAGCTGTGTGACTTTCTACATAGCAATAGTTTATTTGAGGATTTTCAGTCAGGATTTAGAGCTCATCATAGCACAGAGACAGCACTGGTGAAAATTACTAACGACCTCCTTATTGCATCAGACAAATGACTTGTCTCTATACTGGTTTTTATTAGATCTTAGTGCTGCATTTGATACCATTGACCATCAGATCCTATTACAGAGACTGGAACATTTCATTGGCATTAAAGGAACCGTTCTAAGCTGGTGTAAGTCCTATTTATCAGTAGTGTTGTGTTGTTCAAAAAACGTTTCGTTCATTTGACCTAATCTTGTATGTGACTCAGGAGGAACGGGTTGTCTCAGTGAGTAATTCGTTCATTTTCACGCATGCGTGAATAGTCTTGGACTCTTACGTTCACTCGTTACACTAGCGTGTCCCGAGCGCCAAGACGGCGGGAAAACAGCGCCTGTTGCCTGAGCCGCCACAAGGGAGGGGACCTCGGTCAGGCTCTCAGGGGGCTGTGGGCGAGAGCGCTGCCTCGCGTCCCGGTTTGGTTGAGGGGGACTACGGGAAGCGACGCTTCGCTTCTGGCTTCGGCAGTAGGAGCTAGACGAGAGCTGAGCTCGTCTCTCTTCAGCCGTCGCCGTCCTGGACCCAGACCGGCGGGGGAGATATTGCTCAGACGCCTCTCCCTGCGTTTCAGCGTGCTGAAACCTGCTGATGACAGCATCCACCGCCTCACCAAACAGGCCAGTAGGATAGAGGGGCACATCCAGGAGAAAAGCCTTCTCCTTCCCCTGGATGCCCGAGAGGTTGAGCCACAGATGGTGCTCCGCTGCCATGGAGCAGCCAATGCTTGGTAACACGGAGCATTTAAGTCCGTAGCTCAGTCAAGTCCTCCTCAGAGGGACCTCCCCCTAGGTCATAGTCTTGAGAAGATCGGCCTGGTACGCTTGCAAGATGGCCATAGTGTGCATGCTTGCACCAGCTCGACCCGCTGCCATGTAGGCCTTGCCCACCAAAGCGGATGTTTTCGTCCTACACAGCTCGGTGGGGAGCGCCGACATCTGTAAGAATGAAGTGACGGTGGGAGAAAGATAGCTTGCGAGCGCTTCCTCCCCCCAAGGCATCGTTCCGTAGCCGTGCTGCTTAGTTTCTGTCACGCTGCTGTAGTCCAGCAGAGGGGACATAGTCAGCCGTGCAGAGCAGCTTTTTTTATTTTTTTTATTTGGTCTGTTCCATTATTTACATAACTCGTTGTGCAAATCAGGAAAGAACGCGGGGGTGGCGCTCGGGCTGCAGAAAAGCTCATAGAGGTTACTGCCGGCCCGCGGCTCCTGCCCCGCCTCTCATAGCTGGGCGTGGTCTGATGACGTCGGCCCGGCTCCTGGAAGTCATCCTCCATGATGCTAAGTCTAGCACATCTAGCTCCTCAGAATCAGACTGTGCAAGTCTCTCCAAACTCATACCTCGGGTGGGAGAATCCGAGAAGCCGAGAAGCAGACTCCCGAACGGGGAAGAGAGGAGGCGGAGTCAGCAGACGAGGAACGGGAAAAAGCCTCGGCAGTCCCGATGTCCTTGGAGACCTAACGCTGGGCACCCCATGACTGAAGCCGTTGCGCCGCCTCAGCGACCGCCGGCCGTCGAGCCACGGGGAGAGCGCATCCGGCCATCTTCGGAAAAGAGAGCCGTACGGGACCTCAGCACCCTCAGGGGCAGGGCCTCGCAATGGCCGCAAGCAGCCCCCTCGAGAGCTGCCTGGGCATGCGCCATCCCCAGACAGGAAACACACAGGGCATGAGTGTCTCCAGCCGTGATGTAGCGCGGCATGGAAAGACACACTGCCTGAACTGCTCACCAGCCATCTCTTCTGCTTCTCCTTCCAGGTAATTTCGTCTTGTGGTAGCTTCTTCTGAGTAGTCTCAAACATGCCAGAGTGCCTGCTGAATAGAAAAAAGATAATGTGTCCGGTGTGCTGGTGTGCTTATATACGCCTCCAGTTACGCCGTCACACGCTACCGTTCTAGCAACGCCAATAGGATTGGAGTAGTTTCATTCATGATTTCAGCCCTGCCACGCCCAGAGGCGTTCCCATAGTGTCGTCACCGACGCAGTTCGAGTTCCCTCGAAGGGGAACAGGTGGCACATTTATAAGGAAGACTATCTGTCACACCGTGGGCGTGTCTGTTCAGTTGATTGTTTTCAGTCAGTCATGTTATTTATAGTCTGTTTAGTATCTGTCTTATTGTTTTGGGTTCTGTCCTGTGTCCAGTATCAGTTATATAGTCTGTTGTGTTTTGAGTTTCTTGTTTAGAATTATTGTTTTGTCATTTCAGTATCTGTAATTTAGTCGGGTTTGGTTCCATGTCTTTGTTCCCTGTCCTGTGCCTTAGTTCATGTCATAGTATTTGCTTCTAGGTCTTTCTCTGCATCATTTTGGTTTAGTCTACTCTGTACTCTGTGTTCTAGTTCTGTGTTCTCGTTTAGGGTTTGTCTGTTTACATGGGTTTCTGTTATTGTCTGAGTTAGTTTCTTGTCTGGTATTTTGTTACATGTGCCTGCCTGTCAGATGTTCCTCTGCCTGCTTGTCGGTTCTGTGTTTTGAGTTCCTGTTGGATTCTTGTCTTATGTCCTTGGTCTTTTGTACCCTGTATGTCTGTTTATATGTATTCATATTTCGGTTGGTATTTGTCTGCGGGCTTGTTGGTAGTTCTGTTAGTTTGGGCCTGTTTGGTATCTGTCTGTGTGCTGTCATTATTAGTATCACCTGTTTGTGCTCCCGCCGTCCTCGTTAACCAGTGTTTAAATGTGTATGACTTCTGTTCAGCTGTTGCTGGTTCATTGTATGTTCATCCACTGCTGTGTGTCTTGCTTGCCTGCCTCTGCAACCTCGTTTGTTGGGTTATCCTTTTGTTCTGTCTTCCCCTGGATCATTTGTTATGGACTGTGTTTTTGCTGCTCTGCAGACAACCTTAGTTTGGACTCTGCTGTAAGTTTAGTTCCTTTTGAGTTAAAGAAATACCCAGAAACTGTACCTGCTCTGCCTCTGTGTCCTGCGTTTGGGTCTTAAAACCTGTTCCCGCCAGCACACACGTCAAACTGTGACACTATCACCTTCATCAAGGAGGGAGCCAGGCCCTACGCAACAAGGGCATCAGAGAAGTCCACCCTCCTGCAAGCTGCCAGCTCCTGGGAAATGAGAGTCAATGTTGGAAGGAAACTGCAGTACCTCGAGGTGGTCCACACAGCTCTTTGCCTGTTGTTGCCTTGTTCTGTGGTCAGCCAAAGACCATAAAATCATACTTATCAAGCTGACCATGCCGTGGGAAGAGGTCTGTGAGGAGGCACATGAAAGGAAGGCCTTGAAGTATCAGCCTCTAATCTAGTAGTGCAAAGCCAAGGGGTGGCAGGCATGGCTGTTCCCTGTAGAATTACGATGCAGGAAGCACCCAACAGGTGTATCCTGCAAAGTTATTAAAAGTTATTAATATAAATTGAAATAACTATGATGTCTAAACTGAGTATTCTCCCTCTATCTCCCCAGAAAGAAAAACAGAATAAGTGTTTCTGTGGAGGAGCAGCCATCCTGCTGTGCTTTGTGTCAGGACGTCCTGAAGGATCCAGTCTCTACCAGCTGTGAACACTGGTTCTGCAGATCGTGCATCACCTCATACTGGGACCAGTCTGCTTCACCAGGAGACTCCTCCTGTCCCCAGTGTGGAGAAAGATCCAGAAAGAGAGCTGGACTGCAGACAGCCAGTCAGAGCAGCTCTGTGCAAAGTAAGAGTGGACATCTGTCAGATGATGTCGTCATGTCTGAAAACAGGATTTCTGTTTAATAACAGGGACATTTGTTTTTTGAATATTATCATGAATTCAAAAACATTTTTATTTATCTGGATTCTTGCTCTCTGTTTAGTCTCTCTCTTCTCTTTCAGCAGATAGTGGTCTGCAGGAAGTTTTAGATGCACATAAGGTCAATGTGAGGAGGAGATGTGAACGTGTGACTGAAGGAAGTGATGAAACAAGAAGTGGAACCCTCCTCAACAGGATCTACACTGAGCTCTACATCACAGAGGGACAGAGTGAAGAGGTTAATACCCAACATGAGGTGAGGCAGCTTGAGACTGCTTCAAAGATGGAGACCCTCCATGACACTCCAATCAAGTGCCACGACATCTTTAAAGCCTTACCTGACCAACAGAGACACATCAGAGTGGTTCTGACCAACGGCGTCGCTGGCGTTGGAAAAACCTTCTCAGTGCAGAAGTTCACTCTGGACTGGGCAGAGGGCTTGGAAAACCAAGATGTCAGTCTGCTGGTTCTGCTCTCATTCAGGGAGCTAAACTTGATCAAATATGAGCAGTACAGTCTTCTCACGCTGCTCCATGTTTTCCATCCAACATTACAGAAGGTCCCAGCAGAGAAGCTCGCTGTCTGTAAACTGTTGTTCATCTTTGACGGCCTGGATGAAAGCAGACTTTCATTGGATTTCCACAACAATGAGGTTGTGTCTGATGTCACACAGAAGTCATCAGTCAACTTGCTGCTGACAACCTCATCAAGGGGAATCTGCTTCCCTCGGCTCTCGTCTGGATAACTTCCCGACCTGCAGCAGCCAATCAGATCCCTCCTTCATGTGTTGACAGGTTAACAGAAGTACGAGGCTTCACTGACGCCCAGAAGGAGGAGTACTTCAGGAGGAGAGTCAGTGATGAAGAGCTGTCCAGCAGAATCATCTCACACATCAAGACCTCCAGGAGCCTCCACATCATGTGTCTAATCCCAGTCTTCTGCTGGATCACTGCTACAGTTCTGGAGCACATGTTGACTACAGACCAGAGAGGAGAGCTGCCCAAGACCCTGACTGACCTGTACTCACACTTCCTGCTGGTTCAGACAAAGAGGAAGAAGCAGAAGTATGATGAGGGACATGAGACGAGTCCACTGGAGCTGACGGAGGCTGACAGGAGGGTTCTTCTGAAGCTGGGGAGGCTGGCGTTTGAACATCTGGAGAAAGGAAACATCATGTTCTACCAAGAAGACCTGGATCAGTGTGGTCTTGATGTCGCAGAGGCCTTGGTGTATTCAGGTGTTTGTACAGAGATCTTCAAAAGAGAGAGTGTGATCTTCCAGAAAACAGTCTACTGCTTTGTTCATCTGAGTGTTCAGGAGTTTCTGGCTGCAGTCTACATGTTCCACTGTTACACCAACAGGAACACAGAGGTACTGGAGGACTTCCTAAAAGACTACAACTACAGGGATACAAAACCAAAGTCTTTGCTCAAGAATATTTTTAAGTATCTTCGAAACGAAGTTGGCCCATCCCTGGATGTCTTTCTGATGGGAGCCATGATGAAATCCCTTGAAACTAAAAATGGCCATCTTGACCTCTTTGTTCGCTTCCTTCATGGCCTCTCTTTGGAGTCTAATCAAAGACTCTTAGGAGGCCTGCTGGGTCAGACAGACAACAGTCCAGAAATCATCCAGAGAGTCATAAGTAACTTAAAGGTGACGAACAGTGATAAGATCTCTCCTGACAGAAGCATCAACATCTTCCACTGTCTGATGGAGATAAACGACCACTCAGTACATCAGGAGATCCAAGAGTTCCTGAAGTCAGAGAACAGATCAGAGAAGAAACTCTCTGAGATCCACTGCTCAGCTCTGGCCTACATGCTGCAGATGTCAGAGGAGGTTCTGGATGAGTTGGACCTGATGAAGTACAACACATCAGACCAGGGACGACAGAGACTGATTCCAGCTGTGAGGAACTGCAGAAAGGCTATGTAAGTCAAACTGTGACTAAGATTATAAATCAGTTTAGCCTTTCACGCATGGTGTCCACATTTGTGGACAGTTATTTTAACTCCAGTTTGAGTTACTATATCATGGTTATGTTCTCCCAAGTCATTTGAGGACAGTGTAACAGTGGTTTCCAAATATTTGTTGCTTTGATGTACAGTAAAGTATTAACAGGTTTATGTTAAATTTAAAATAAAATGTAGTTTTTATACACCAAAAACCAACTGTCCACGTATTTGGACGTCATGCAACAGTGGAGTGAGATCTGTTCAAATTTTTCAAAGATTTGATAAGTTGTATTATAATAAAACAAACATTTAACAAATATATGAACAGTATTAACAATGCAAATGTACATATTACAGCATTAAATTACAGCAGCTTTTGACTGTTGTGCAGCCTTTACATGAAATAAGTATTATACTCACCAACTGTAAAGAAATCAGTTTTAACTACAGCTATGTAATATGTTACATGTTGGATGTTATGGTAAAACTGATATGATTCAACATGAAGTTAGATTTAGTTTATTGCAATAAATAAAGTTATTGCAAAGTTGTTTTTTGGCACACATGTTCTTGAGGTGTAAATTGTTTTATTTGATAGCTATCAAGTTAATCAGAATCCGCTTTAATGGCCAGGTAGGGGTACACATACTAGGAATTTGACTTTGGATGACCGTAAACGACCGTAAACAAACAAGTGTAAACATAAGGCTCAGCAAGGAGCAGACACAATGTGCAGATTACACATACACAATAACTAACTCCGAAAGTCCACTTGCGCCACATTATGGCTATGCCATTGTTTTGTTCCGTCCTTAGCCCGGTGTCAACGTCCACTGTAAGCATCAGTGACTTGTTGTTAATTTGTCATTTTTGTGCTTCTACTACCTTCTTTCCAGCTCTCTGTGACCCGGTTTTGTTTCGTCGTCTGCAGGCTGCATATCTACAGGGAGCATTTCAGAATCGGAGCGTTTTACTGCCAGATTTTTCTGACATGTTAAGATTTTGTTGATTTGGTAATCAGTGCTTGCTTTTGTCCTTCTACTATGATTAGATAAGCTACGTAGTTAAATGGTTTCCTTTTTTTGTCTGTTTTAATTGTTTATTGTTGTTCTACAATCAAGAATCTGCGCAGATTGTTTTATTTAGAAAATTGATGGGATTCTTTTTGCTGTTCTGTGTCTGACTTCCTGCCTGTTTCAATTTGCTCTGTGCTGCTTGACGCGGCTTCCGTCAAACATAGACAACCTATTTTCTGTGGAGCAGAGCAGAGAGCCGCATCTGGGACACGTCTGGGACGCGCTGCGGCCCTGCCTGGTAGACTCACAAGCATTGACAAGAATGGCTGCAATTTGCTCCTGCAACCGCATCGCAGCTGTAACGCGACACAGGCAGATTCAGTGGACTTTGCGGGTAAAACAGCAACATTTGTAGGCAGCAAGACCGCAAGCCCAGGGCTCCAGACTAACTTTTCCACTGGTAGCACTGGTGCTGCTAACTTTCTCAGTACATGATTTGGCAGCAGCTCCCCAGGAACCAGATTAATAATTTAATAATAATTAATTAAATTTCACAGAATATAACTCGGGTAAAACGAACTTAATAATAACAAAATTGACAAAGATAGTTAACTAATTTGTGCACCCAAATAGATAAATGATGTCAAATAGCTAATAAAATGTGTGTCCAGTCTTATATTTCGTTTTATATGTAATGTGCTCAAAACAAATTAGTTACCACCGTGAGTTGTTGTTGTTTCCATGATCAATCACAATGATCCACAATAACACAAAGACAAAGTCACTCTACCTATTTTAGAGAAAAGCTCATTGATTAGGATTTAGTAATGTTGAGCTACACATTTAAAACCTGAACACATCTGATTGATTATAAATACATTTTTATCTCTATTTATTCTTTATTCAGATTGAGTTCCTGCAGGTTGTCAGAGATCAGCTGTGCTTCTGTGGCCTCAGCTCTGAAGTCCAACCCCTCCCATCTGAGAGAGCTGCAGCTGAGTGGAAACAAGCTACAGGATTCAGTAGTGAAGCTGTTGTGTGGTTTTCTGGAGAGTCCAGACTGTAGACTGGAGACTCTGAGGTCAGAAACCATTTTTTACTTCTGTACTGAGATTGATATGATTTGAAAGTTGTGGTAACACTAAACTACAGACATAAGGCTGATATAATAGTGAGCCACACTTATCTTAATTTAATAATCTTAATGCTAAAGTCTATTTTGTTTTTAAGTGGTTTAGTCCATTGACCTGGCAGAGCAATGTAGAGCTACACATTTAAAACCTTTTAATATAACAAAAAACATCTACATTGGATAATTCACTCTGAACCTCTTAGGGCCCTATCTTGCACTTGGCGCAAAGCGGTACAAAGTGCAATGCCAATGTGATTGCTATTTTCCAACTGATGCAGTTGTCATTTTCATGCCCAGCGCCCACGTTGTTTAAATAGCAAATGCACTTGCGCTATTCTGTGCACCCATGCGAGAACTGGCCTTAAAATGAGGTGTGGTTATGTGGTTGGGGTGGTGATGGCGCAATGATGTGAGAGACCCGGGTTCAATTCCCCACTGTGATACATCCACCAATTTGTCCCGGAGTAAGACACTTAACCCCTAGTTGCTCCAGAGTGCAACATCTGATATATAGCAATTGTTAGACACTTTGGATAAAAGCATCAGCTAAATGAGTGTTGATGTAATGATTGTGAACTGAAATGTAATGCGTGGTCAGGCAAATTGTTGGTGCATTACTCTTGAGGCAGAAGAAAGCAATTGCGCTATTGACAAAAAACAGTTCTAAAGTCAATGGCACAGTATTTCACTGTTCTTTTGTTTTTTGGGGGGCACATTACTCCAATGGTAAAAGAGATGCTGTGTGCATTTGCGCACAAGGCACAGCAGCGTAACTTCATTGATTTACTAAAATCTCCCGACACACCAACAGGATCGATCAGGCTCTAATGTTAATTCATGCCCTGCGTTCTTCTTCACATCCAAAGGTCTCACACACAGTCCAGGTCTATACAGTGAAACTGTCAATAGTAAAGCAGCCAGATCAATCATGAGCTCCATCAGAGCGTCTAAACTATTTCAGAAGCTAAAATTTTAATTCTGTTTCCTCTGGAGGGTTTCCTCTGTCCTGTCACGTTTATAACTACAGTTTTTTTGTTTTGCTGCTTAAATGCTTCACCATGTTTGCTGTGACTTTACTGCGCCCATGGAAACGTTTAAAATGACTGACAGCAACCTCTCTAATCATGAAAGTTAAGGGAGAAAAAGAGGGGAGAGGAAGGTTAGAGAAGAGGGGTTGAGAGAGGGAATTTGAAAATAAGAAGAGAGAAACGGTGGGGGGGAGCAAATCAGAAGATGTGGAGGAGGATCCATCTCATTAAAAAGATATGAACCATTAAAACATTATTACACAACGGCCAACAGAGATTTGTGAAATTCAAAGCTATCCAGGATCCAACAGTCAGCTACCAGCTCACGACTGAACACACTGGATTCATGCATGGAATTTGGTTCTCTGAAGTGTTTCAAATGCGTACCTCAGTTCCTTTAAGGTTTAAAGCATAGATCAGTCCAAAGAGGTAGGCAAACGCTGTTGGCAGGTCAGGGAGATCTTGAATGATGATGTCTTCTTCTATGACAACACAAATGTTTGCGACACTTGCAGAAGCTGAATCATCATCCAACACAGTGAGGATGCCCACAATAAGCTCTTTAGTCTGCTGCTCTTCTGGGTCAGCTGCCTTGTGATGAAAGGAAACATAATAAAAGCAAATCAAAGTGTCATTCAAATACTGTGCCTCAGAATAAGCCAATAGTCTAAAATGCGTGGAGAAAAGGACAGAGACAAATCCAAAAGTTGAAACTATTTATTTAATGAAATTATATACAGTTAGTATTTAAAAAATGGAATATATTGGTTTAGTCTATTTTATTTCTTTTGTTGTTCCATGAATTCATTATATTTTAGCAATGAAGGAACTACAACCTTTTGAAACTTAATTTCAATATAAAAAGATGTTACTAACTACGCCTCACTAAGGAGGTGTTCCAGGCATGTCCAGCTGGGAGGAGGCCTTTGGGAAGACCCAGGCCTAGGCGGAGAGATTATATCTCCACACCTGTTGGAGCTGCTGCCCCCGCAACCCGACCCCGGATAAGCAGATGAAGATGGATAAAATATAAATAAAAATAAATAAATAAAAATGGTTTGCTTGCAGCCAAACACGCAAGTAACGCAACAAAAAAAAGAGAAGAGCACGCCTTTTTCTCCTCCTGTGCCTGCACCATAAACTGTATAACAAAGGCCTGCACGCGCCGAGTACATGCACGATTTTAACAGCCGCACTCCTTCGGCTGCAGTCCAGGGCATGTTCGCCTCTGTTGCAAGTTTTCCACCACAAGCTCGGGTTTCTGTCGGTGTCATCTTCTGGTACCATCTAACACTTAGCGTACATTTTCATGTGCTATTCCCGCACGTCCGCCAACTCAGTCAATGCAATACTCAACCATCGATCACGCCATCGGCCATCCATTTACATTTATTCATTTAGCTGACGCTTTTATCCAAAGCGACATACAATTGCTGTACATGTCAGAGGTCGCACGCCTCTGGAGCAACTAGGGGTTAAGTGTCTTGCTCAGGGACACAATGGTGGATGGGTCACAGTAGGAGATTGAACCCGGGTCTCTCACACCAAAGGCATGTGTCTTATCCATTGCACCATCGCCACCCCAAGGTAGATATCACCAGCTCAGTGTTACCCATTTACCCCGACTACTGGCACCTTTTCGGCGTTCTCTGGAAGGGCGCTACTACTTTGCAGCTTGTCTAACCTTCAGACATAAGAGCAGCCCAAAATAATAAATAAATTCAATTAATTAACATATATTGAATAATATTTAATGAACACACATTAACGTCATAGATGACTTCCTCACCTTTTTGCCACCCTCTACGCCACCATCTTATGGCCTCAACATCTCAACTGCCGCACTCCACAAACTCGGAGTCCCTCTCTCCCCAGAGGAAACAGAATGACCCAACACATCACTGCAGCTCCTGGGCAGTACCCTCGACTCAGGGTCACTCCAGGCATCCTTCCCCCCCGAGAAAATCCATTACATTTCCTTGCCAATTTCCTTCTGGCCACCGTTACACCGTCTTCTCTCACTACTAAGCCACTTAACTACACCACCCGGATCATCCCACAAGGTCGGTCCTTCCCGTCACAACTTCTTTTCCATAACCGCTTCCGTCCCATCTCTCCATGACCACATCAAACTAGACGCCGCAGGCAGTGGAGCTCAAACACGGTTACATTTCCTTTCATCCAGCAACATCATCCAACTCTTCACAGATGCTGCCTCTTCTGTTGTCTTCGGCAATTACGGCGGTAGTTGATTCACAGCGGACTGGCCACCTGAATTTTCAGCCCTCCCTCCTTCCACTACCATCTACGACACACTTTTGGCAACTATTCCTTGGGTGTCTAAGCGGTCCAAGAAAACTATCACAATATATTCAGATACAGTGCAGTGGTAGACATAATTAACAGAGGACGGTCCCATTGCCCAGATATAATGCAATTCATGCAGAGGCTCACCTTGGTTTTCATCACAGCGCCATTCATCATCCGAGCCTCCCATATCCCAGGCCACGAAAACGCTATCGCTGACTCTCTTTCTCACTCAGATTGGGTCACTTGACCCCGAATGCGGACAGAGTCCTAGAATCCATGTTCCTACTGGCATTTTTGGCTTTTCACGCTGCTCAGAGTTCACCACCTCCAGCCTCTACTACCATCCGAGTCTATACGCCACCATGGCCTGACATTTCCAAACCATCCGCAGACGCACTCATTTATCACCTCAAACGCAGCGAAACTAACCAATCTGTTCTGCCGCAACCCATCTACCTCTTCCGACTTGATTCTTACCTCAGTACGTATGAACCATACAACTCTAGCTCAGACTTGTGAAGCGTGGCTGGCTATTACCGAGTCTGAAATATAACATATTGTAATAATTAGCCAGAGAGAGAGAGAGATTTTGTCTCTTTCATGTTTTGATTGTAATTTTTCTGTTCTTTATATTCATATTGAAATTCAAGGTCAAGCAAGGATTTGCCTTCTGCTCCACTGGACATTTCGGTCCTCCCTTAGGACACCTGCATTGTTTGAATGCTGACATGAAATATTATAAATAACAACAATAGATTTAATAGTACAGTAATATGTGATTGGTTCACACCAGAAATGAACTGCTCCAGAGTTCACTTGACAGCGGTCCAAGACCACCTCTTTGAGGCGGACCGGAGAGCGGTTGTCTGGTCCGCACCATAGTTGTAGTCCAGTGTTTACATCAACCCAAACAAACCGCACCCAGGCGGTAAACGCTCTAGGGTTCGGTTCAACCAGAGTAAATAAGGTTTGTGTGAACCCATTCGTAAATTGGATTCTGTGGGGTTTTATTTGTGTTTTGCTGCACAAAAAGAGTTTGTATGGATGGAGCCACTGGTGGACCTGCAGAGTTTCAGAGGTGAAGTCACTACCTCTTTATTGAAGTAGCAGCATGTTGTCATTAATATTAATGACAGCTCTTTTTTAACCTGCATCCTGTTGGGTTCAGGTGTTTAGAGTTTCCATTTTCTTAACTTCTACATTCTAAACCTTCTTCAGCTCTGAACAGATTATTAAACACTGAATGATTTCAAGCAGGAACATTGTCTTCTTATTCAGATTGCAGGGCTGCAGTTTGTCAGCGATCAGCTGTGCTACTCTGGCCTCAGCTCTGAAGTCCAACCCCTACCATCTGAGAGAGCTGGACCTGAGTGAAAACAAGCTGCAGGGTTCAGGAGTGAAGCTACTGTGTGGTTTTCTGGAGAGTCCACACTGTAGACTGGAGACTCTGAGGTAAGACACCACTTTTTACTGCTGTGCTGAGATTAATATGATGTGAAAGTTGTGATGATACTAAACTGCAGACATGAGGCTGATATTATACTGATCCACACTGAGAATCTGAAAGTCTATTTTCTTCTTCAGTGGTTAAGTTCATTGACTGTGGCAGATCAATTCTGAGCTACACATTAAAACAACAAAAAAAATCACAGGGGAGCTGGGGATCAAACCACCGATCTTCCAGTTAGTGGACAACCACTCTAACCCCCAAGCCACAGTCACCACACATAATAGCAAGAATCTGTTTGTACCATCACCTTTATGAAGCTTTACAGTGTTGCTACTGACTGAAACATTCAAACACAAGATGCATTGATTTTGTTTTATTTATGCCTGCACCACTCCATTAAGTTGAAATATTGTAGATATTTTGTGCATCCTTTTGTTCCGATTTCCCCCAAATCCATCCTGACATATTTGACATCTTTGGAAACTTTAGGATCTTGAGTGGAATCTTAAATAAGTTTCTGTGGGTTTTAATTTGTGGGTGGCTGCACAACATGAGTTTGTATATGTTACAGCCCCTGTGTGGCTTGAGGGTGAGTGTGTGTCATGACTAGTGCAGTATTAACCCACCTCTGTGGTTTTCTGTTGGAGGAGCTGATTTAGTTTCCCCAATATACAGGTCTGTGCATTCCTCACTGCATTGGACCGCGTACACTAGATTGCTTTTTTTGTTTTTATGTGTGTGGTCTTTGGGGTGCACCAGTATCTGTCATAGCGTATTCTTGGGTTTAAAAAACACAAGGATGTGGCGTATGTTGAAAATCCTCCTGAGTTTCTCTGATACTCCAGACATGTATGAAATCACAATGTTGTTTGACCTTTTCTCCTCATCCCCTGTAGGTATCGGTGGTCTTCCTGGATTTTGTGTTGTGATGTTTTCTGTGAAGGCTTGCACTTCCTGGTTTTTAATTTTGACCCAAGTGTCATCCACATACTGTACCTGTACCAGTGACTCAGTGCTCTTCCTCTTAATAAATTGAGGTCTTTGCTCTCCACTTCTTCCATGTAGATGTTAGCCACAATAGGGGATACTGGTGAGCCCATGGCACAGCCATACTTCTGTCTGTAGAGTCCACCATTGTACTGGAAATAGGTGGTGTTTAGACAGAGGTCAAGTACAGATCTGGTCACCTTGTTTACAAAGTCAATGGAGTTTTGTATGTGTTGAGGCGTGTTAGCAACCAAGGGTGCTAGGATGGTAGATATGTGTTTGGCAATGTTGTAGGTGACCGAGTTAATGCTGCTGATAATAGGCCTGAGTGGGGCTCCATCTTTGTGTATCTTGGGTAGTCCATAGAAACATGGAATGGCTTCTCCGGGATACAAATGGTACGCTTTGTTTTACTTTTACACCACAACACTTTCCCACATCCACACCTACATTACTGATGTTGCAGACTGCCACATCCCTTACTTAAAATGTTATGTTATTTCAGATTATTTTGTGTTAATACCAGGTGTTTATTTTATCAACATTGTGTCTTTTCCACTTTTGCCATGGTCTTTGAGCCAGGTCATGACGGTATAGATGGAGCCACTGGTGGAGCTGGAAGACTTCAGAGGTGAAGTCACAACGTCTTCATTGAAGTAGCAGCACGTTGTCATTAATATTAATGAGAGCTCTTTTTCACTTTTTGTATTTTACAGTTTTTAACCTCCATCCTGTTGGGTTCATGTGTTTGGAGTTTCCATTTTTTAAACCACTACTGTCTAAACCTTTTTCAGCTCTGAAGAGATTATTAAACACTGAAAGATTTCAAGCAGGAACATTGTCTTCTAAAGTTACATAATTTATTCTTTATTCAGATTGAGTCGCTGCAGTTTGTCAGAGATCAGCTGTGCTTCTCTGGCCTCAGCTCTGAAGTCCAACCCCTCCCATCTGAGAGAGCTGGATCTGGGAGGAAATGAGCTGCAGGATTCAGGAGTGAAGCTGCTGTGTGGTTTTCTGGAGAGTCCACACTGCAGACTGGAGACTCTGAGGTCAGTTCACTGACTCTCTGTTACTATTGTAGATCTGATATGTTTAATTAACAATTGAACTTAAGTTATGTTCATACATAACTTACATCCATTTATGTTTCTTGTACTAAATTTAGTCTGCAGTCACAAAAGGCTTGTGTGTCTTAAAGAAACTGGAGAAGATTTACGCTGTTAGTTGTTAAAGTAAATTATTGTTTATTATTTTTGGTAAATGGTCACATCTGTATACAGAAGATCAACTGAACTAATATTTGTTATGAATTGAGCAAGTTTTCTGCTGAAGTAGAAATATTTGTTTGGTTTCTGTCGATTTCAATGTGTTTTCACAAATGTCTGATCATTGATATTGATCCTTAAGAACACACAAGAACACACACACACAGACACACAGATCAAAACATATTTCCAAATGCAGCTATTTGAAGGATCAATATAGTTTTTCCTCCTCTAATTCCAGACTGGCCTGAGATCAGCAGCATCTTACTAATCTGTGTTGACATGAATAGGTGTATGAATATTGTGCTGACATTTGGATGATGTCTGTAGAAGGCTGACATTATGATGAAAGGGGTGGTGATGGCGCAATGGATAAGACACATGCCTTTGTTGTGAGAGACCCAGGTTCAATCCACCACTGTGAGCCATCCACCATTGTGTCCCTGAGCAAGACACTTAACTCCTAGTTGCTCCAGTGGCGTGCGACCTCTGACATGTATAGCAATTGTAAGTCGCTTTGGATAAAAGCATGAGCTAAAAGAATAAATGTAATGTAATGATCCACAACAACACAAAGTCACTCTACTCATTTTAGAGAAAAGCTCATTGATTAGGACATAGTAATGTTGAGCTACACATTTAAAACCTGAACACATCTGATTGGATCATTAAATTGATTTTTATCACCATAATTTATTCTTTATTCAGATTGTGGCGCTGCAGTTTGTCAGAGATCAGCTGTGCTACTCTGGCCTCAGTTCTGAAGTCCAACCCCTCCCTTCTGAGAGAGGTGGATCTGAGTCTCAACAAGCTGCAGGATTCAGGAGTGAAGCTGCTGTGTGAATTTCTGGAGAGTCCACACTGTAGACTGGAGACTCTGAGGTCAGACACCATTTTTTACTTCTCTGCTAAGATTAATATGATGTGAAAGTTGTGGTTACACTAAACTGCAGACATTAGACTGATATTATACTGATTCTCACGGAGTACCTTAATGCTAAAGTCTATTTTCTTCTTCAGTGGTTAAGTCCATTGACTGCGGCAGAGCAATGTTGAGCTCCACCTTTAAAACCTTAATATAACAAGAAAAATCTACACTGGATAATTCACTCTGCACCTCTTAAACTCCTGATGTACAGTATATGTTAAATTTCATCTTCCCTTAAATGTTCTCCTCTTCATTAAAAACACTCTGTGAGACAGTAACAAACATAATATCGAGATTCTGATTGTTCCAACACCTTTATGAGGGTATGAAATAATCAAACACAAAATACAATGATTTTTATGGCTGCTGTTCATCCTTTTCTAACCCATTTCCGCAAAATTCATCCTGACATATTTGGCATCTTTGGAAACTTCGGGATCTTGAGTCGAATCTTAAATCAGTTTCTGTGGGTTTTATTTGTATTTGGCTGCACAACATGAGTTTGTATAGATGGAGCCACTGGTGGAGCTGCAGAGTTTAAGAGGTGAAGTCACTACGTCTTTATTGAAGTAGCAGCATTTTGTCATTGAGGGCTCAACATCAATTATTTTAGGCACTTGTCCTTTGGACAAGTAAATTTACTTTTTAGTTGTCCAAGCACAAAAAATCACTTGTCTGGATAGAAATGTCATTTTACAGTAATTAACTGTTTTCGTTTTGTTGTTGTCATTTTTCAGCATTGCCCCCTGTGAATTTATTAAACCACATGTTGTGGTGAAATTGATCTTGGCTTTCACTCATTTATTCAGGAAACAATATTCTTTGAGATATGTGGGAAGAGAGTAAATATGGGTGGATCACAGAGTCCTGTTGAGCTTTATGCGTGACACACAGGTTTCCCTTTATATGTAGGCTTAACCACTTCATTCACCAACTGTGTTAGACCTATGCACTCTCTTCATCGGCCCTCCCTCCAGTGGCACCACTGTATATGGTCCCCTGCACCTCAACAACTTTATACACTGCAGCTGCCCAGGCATCCTGGTTCTTATCCCTCCCTGGTGAACGATGGCGGAGGTACACCAATTGTCCCACGTCGAATGGCGGACAGTAAACCTTCTCCATCTGTAGTGCTACTCTTTCCACCGCCTTCCACTCCACACACTCCTTGCTCTGGCGTGTGCATCCTGAAGGCACTCCTGGTGTACATGTGGCGTGTGCATTAAGATTGCGTCAGTGGGGAGGTTTGGATGAACGCCGAACAGCAGGTAGTTGGGGGAATACCCTGTAGTGAAGTGTGGTGTCCTCAATCACACCATACAAGAGGGTCAGATACAGCCAGTTGCACGACCCATCGCTGCTGAATAGCCCCTAAGTTAGCAGTAGAGAGGTGACACGGGGTTATCTGTGATGATGGTAAACTTGGACCCAAGTAGGTAACTCCTGAACTTTTCTGTGACCGCCCACTATATTGCAAGAAGCTAAAGCTTCATGCTGCTGTAGTTCTAATCACCACAGCGGGTATAATCAACGCCTCTGTCAGACCAACCAGTACAATAAAAAGTGACGCAACTCACCTGTGAAGCCTCATTGTAATCCACTGATGGATTATATTCCAACAAAAATGGTTTTATGTTATGTTGTCAAAGGTCCAGATGATCCAATCCAGTAAACATTTAGTCCAAAACACATTATTCCATCAATAAATCCCCAGGGACTGCGGCGGCATCGTTTCATATTTGCTGGCAGACGTGGCTTGTATGTCGTCATAACCGTAATAACTCTGATTTGAATGAACTACGATCTCTTGTATTCAAATTAGCTGCTGAACTCTTAACCTTTCGAGTGACACCAAATGCGACCCAATAGGAGCTCACATGTCCCCTTCAGTCTACAATAGCCAACGAGAGGAGGAAGGGCCAGCCCCTATTATTTCGTGGGTAGGCCGAGCCAATTGCAAGTAATAATGGCAATGAAAAAATTCTGAAAATAACGATATCCAGCTTTAAGTAGGAGGTTCATAATCTACCAGCAAAAAAACACATCTGCGTCAAGCTACCGGCTAATACGGAGCGATGCAGCAGCAGCCACTTGCCGCTAAGGGGCGGTGCTGTTTTAGAAAAAATACGCTAAGACATACCCTTAGAATTTTTTCATGGGATTGGTATAAAATTTAAACTTGGACTATGTAAGGCTTTATGCTATGGGCCTACAGTGTTTTCCAGCTAATAAGACCCAGCTATAGTTGTCTGCATGCAGTTTTAGTATGTTTAATCTTATATTAATCAATTCCAGTAGCACCGGAAGCCTAGGCATGGCAGGAGACTGACTTCCTGGCTTGCGTGATGTAGTGCACTGTCTAGCCATATGTCCCTCCCCTTCACTTAGGTTGAATTTTAGGCCTAGCAGCCTTACTACCCCCGTCTGAGCGGGCATTTTGTATAGTGAGTTATCTGACTGCATTGGTTAGTTCGCCAATAGGTCTACCTTGCTGTGTAATTATCTTCACTACTTCTTGCAGAATCACTGTCAAGTCAGCCTGTATGCTATCGGTCAAATTAGCTTTTTCTGAAACTTCATCACTGACTAGGTTTTGGTTTCTTGCAACATTATAATTGTGGGGACAGTCCTCAAGAGTCCACATTATGGCCTCTTCCCTTACATCAAACAGGTTAAAGTCTGGCTTGGCTTCTCTCTAATTAGTCTGCTCAACTCGCAGTGAAGGGTGGAGTCACTCACCCCCTCAATGAACTGGTCTCTGAGTGCTAACTGTGCGTCATACAGCATTAGGGGACTGTTGGACATTACTGTATCATGTTTTTTACTCGGGTCCAAAATCTGTGACTGCAGCGCCACCAAAGGGTTACATCCATCTTCGTGTAAAAAGCAGCTGGGTTGTCTCCATCACGCCTGGTGCCGGCCCAGGGAGCAGCTGCTGCCCCCTCGTCCTCATCAGACATCCTGAAATGTCTCTTACAGTGTCTTTATTGCAGCAAAATAACAGTCACCACTCTATACAATTCTCTTCCGTCCAACAGTCTAAACGCTCCAACATCGGCGGTCTCCTCCTTAGTCCGAAGCAGAACCCCTCTCCTCCGAAGCCTCAGACGTTGCTCCAGGAACCTCCCACGACGGTCGTCTCTGCCTCTGGTACCAGATCTGGATCTTTATTCACCACTAATGTTGTCTACATACTATCCCTAACCAACTAAAACCTCAACATTTAACATTCCCAATCCCACTTCTGACACCAAAATGTGTGGCCAGGCCAGGAATGAAGAGGTCAAACACACAATAAATTTTATGGGTTTTTATTCCCTGACTGGACTGTAAAATCGAGGATTTTGAGGCAGTTGGAGGTTATACAAAACACGGGAATTACTCACTTAATCACTTGTCATTTACTTATTGCATCTGATCATAACTATTTGATTTAACAGTACACTATATTACCCAAAAACCATACACTCTGGTAGACAACAAACAACAAGTCTAAAAAACATCAAAGTCTAGAAAACAGGCCGGTCTATACACTCCAAAATCTAGACAACAGTAGTGGCGTTTTCTAATTAGAGAAAATAAAAAACATATACATTCACTTAGCCACACAATGCACAAGTTCATAAAGTCAAGGTAAAATACGTAAATTTACCAGAAAACATAAAATACATCCAAACAAAAATACAATTTGCCCAACCGTTTGTACAGAAACTCAGAATTAATACTTTATGGATGAAATCAGTAACCGTCTTCTAATGTGCAGTGTGCGCCCCTAGGACATGCGCACGCGCACACACACACACCAGGAACTCCACAGTGTATCTCCCCTCTAAGTCAGCAGAAAAGTACAAAATACACATTGTTTGTTTACAGCATTATTATACACATACAACACATACACATAATGTGATTTTGTTTGTAAATACACGTTGTTGTCACTCACGCTGTTGCCGCTGGTCAGAGTCTCTGTCTTGACCCCCTATCAAAGCCATACCAGCACAATGGGCTCCAGTTTGGAGCCCCTGCCTGTAATGGCATTTTTCCATTACCAGTACCAGCTCAACTCGCCTCGACTCAACTTGACTCAGTTTGGCTGTCCTCCGTTTTCCATTCCAGAGATAGTACCCCTCAATGTAGCTGGTCATCATAGCGACGCCACACACAACTGCCGCGACGTAATGTTCAATGCGACACACACACCAGCACACAACACCTCTGTCCGGCACGCGCAATGATGATGCAGTGAATAGTGACTATTCTCTCTGACCAATCCGTAGTCTGCAGTGTTTCACGTCACATTTTAGTGTTGCCTCAGCTCGCTTGGAACCTCAACTGAGGTGATATGAAAAAAAGTATCTGGAAGCAGGTACAAGTACAACCTTTACACAATGGAAAACCAAACAAAGGCGAGTCGAGGCGAGTGGTACTGTGCAGTGGAAAACGGGCCTAAGTGTCCACACACTTCGCATCATGACCTTAAGGAGGAGATCCGTCGGCTCTCAGATGAACTGCAGAGGAAGGCCTCGCTGCTGACCAGCTTCTCGGCCTGTCTGCCACTCATTTCCAGCTTCATGATAGAGCACTCAAAAAACAGCTGAGATGTGTGGGTAAAGCAGAAGATTTTGGAGCCCCCTATCAACTGTTCATTAATTTGAACAATACCGGTGCTTTGGTGTTCTTTATTAGCTGAGGACACACGACTGCTCTGGCGATACTTTGGATATTTATATGTCCCTTTCTGAGTTTAAATCTGTTTAACAACCTCGAGCTAAGGGAGCTAACAACAACCAAGCTAACTCCACCACCTCGGACAACGGCATCCTTGGCACTATTGCCTCGCTCCGAGATGGCGACTCTGAAGAACGTAATTTGTACCTCGGTGGATGCTAAAATAATCTGTGTATGGTTAGTTTTTCCATTATTTCATTCCAAATCCGATCTGTTCTGTTTTTCTGTTTTAAACCAATAACGGAAAATAAAGAAGCTGCATTTTGTTCTATCTTTGACCAGTGTTGTATACCTACAACCCGTTCTCAATCCCCAACATATGGCATGATCAAGGCCTATCAGAGTTTGTAACGCACTGGGGATTCCTATAGTGTCATAGGTCAACGCAGTGGGGGAAGCCCTGTAGCGTCAGTTTGCGTACAGGGTCACGGGGGGCTGGAGATAATCCCATCTTAAATTGGACTAAAGGCGGGGTACATCCTGGACAGGTCGCCTGTCCATCGCAGGCAGGGCCACACATAGACAGACAACCACTCACACTGACATTCACACCTCAGGACAATTTTAGAGACACCTATTAACCTAGCCTGCATATCTTTGGATGGTGGGAGGAAGCCGGAGCACCCGGAGAGAACCCACACAGACATGGGGAGAACATGCAAACTCCACACAGAAAGGCCTGGAACGACCGAATCCACGACCTTCTTGCTGTGAGGCGACAGTGGTAACCACCGCACCACCGCGCCGCACAGCAGGTATATGATTAACAGAAAAGACTAAATGAGAACATGGTTGGGGTGAAAGGAGGGCCAGGACCTTTGAATCAGGAGACTTGTGTTCGTGTATCCTGTGAAACAAAAAGTAAACATTGGGCTAAATATTTTTACGGCCAGGGTACAACTTCCTCTCCTTCGCTCTGTACGCTCCAGCGCCCCTGCTCCGTTAGCCCTACTATGGGTTGTGTTGCCAGTGGAAACAGCGCACTGGACGGTCAGTGGTTGATCCCTCTGGGTGGATGAAGTCTGAGTTCCTGATTTTATACATGTTACTGCAACTGGAGGCTCTCAGCAGCGCCGTGCAACTTACTAAATTCTTCCATCTCACAAAGAAAATAAAAGTCGGATTGAAACAGTGTAGGTATTTTAATCCCTGTATGATTCGTTAATATACAGCTGTACTAACAACTATCACTAAATTAGAGAAATCTTAAAAACCGGAGGATTTTCAGGAAAGCGTTCCTGTTCCAGTTGCTAGTGAGTTACAAACTGAACGTTGAGCCAATAGCAGCCTCCGGTCCTGTTTTTCTAACTAAAAACCCACTTATGTTGATGTTCAAGCTCATCTTAATTACATTTAATCAGGCACCGCCATCGCCCAAGTGTATCTGCTGCAGGTTTATCAAGTGTAACACACAAAGCTACTCAAATCGGACTCATTAAATATCAAAATCAATATTTTTTTGTTTTTCTGTTTTAAAACCAAAACGACTTGGTTGTTTTTTTGTTTTTTTCCCCCCTTACCCTTCTATATGCCTTTCCATTTTTATTCTCCACTGATGGCCACCCTGTCCCTAACTAATGTGCTTCTCTTTCATGTTGTCAATAGATGTACGTGACATGACAGTAGGCTATGTGAGTGGGTCAATTAATTGCATCAGCTGGAATGTGAACGGCCTAAACTTTCCAATTAAGAGGAAGAAGGTACTCACTCACCTGAAGCAGCTCAACACTCAGATTGCGTTCCTCCAGGAAACGCACCTCTGCGACTTAGACCAGGCTAGACTTCACTGTGGGTGGGTGGGCCAGCTCTATTCTTGTCAGTAAGAACCTTCCATTCGCAGTCTCTAATGTGGATGCAGACACAATCGTTATGTAATAGTCACAGGACGGTTACACCATTGTCTGGTTATTTTAGCCAACATTTATGCCCCAAGTACAGACAATGGATGCTTCATTAAGGACTTTTTCTCCCATTTACCAGGTTACTCTCCTCAGTTCAAAGTTGCAGCTATCAGGCTATTGTAATTTCAGACCACGCCCCACTTTCTTTAAAACTAATTTTACCAAATTGACCCATATCCTATCGACCGTGGCGCTTTAACTCCCTCTTACTCTCGGACGAAGCATTCATTGAGTATCTGTCTGGTCATATTGTTTCCTTCCTTGAAATGAACCGAACCCCAGACATATCCATAGCAACTCTATGGAAGATGTTGAAAGCCTTTATGAGACTTACTCTGCCTACACTCGAAAACGCAAAATGCAGTGAATGAATGTTTTACAGGATGAAATATTGGAAATTGATAGAACTTATGCCGCTTCTCCTTCACTTGAACTATCTAAAAAACGTCAGCGATAGAATTTGAAACTCTGTCAACTGGGCAAGCAGAACACAGGGCTTAAAGTTCTCAGACGCTGTGCCGGAATTCCGGTATGGGGCGTTTTTGACAATATATATGTCTGTGGAAAATATTCTTGCGTAATTTTTTAACTGTCGCGTGATATCTGTGTATGTGTTCCTCTGCACAATTGGTGGCTCGGTGTCTCTGTCGGTGTATACACAAAAGAAAGGGGACTGGTGCTTCCTGGCTACGTGGACTCTCATTGGCTATTGTAGGCTGTGAATGGGGCATTGAAGTTTCTATTGGGTCAATTAATATGTCACTCAAAAGGTCAACGTGTAGTTTTGTGTTTACATGCTAACTGTAGTGAATGACGCAACAGCAGTCTGTGTGTATTTATTGATATAATAATGCGTTTTGGTCTAAATATTTTACTGGATTGGATCGTCTGGACCTTTGCCAACGTAACAAGGCCATTTTCGTCTGAATGTAATCCACCAGTGGACTACGGCTTCACAGATAAGTGGTGTCAATTTTGATAATAGGCATTGCTTGAAGTGGGCCATCGGTTAATTCTACATTTTACTCTTTCGTGTCCTGGGACTTTTCTTGCGTACCAGTGGGCTTAATGCAGCAGTCATCTGTTCCCATTCTCGCCAGTCTGCTAATCTCTAATAAAATTTTCTTCAGTAACAATATAACAAATGTTTAATAAATGTTTTATTTGAATCATAAACAAATCAGCACTTAATTTTCCTATTAAGATATTTATTTTTTTGAGGGGAAAAGGGACTGAAAAAAAGATTCTTCCAGTTCTGGAGAACTGAAGAAGTCCTTTGGATAAGGGACGAAACGTCTTCCAGTAGCTTCTACCAAGTCCAGTTGCCCTTCATTTTAAACTTCGTTGGATAACTATGACCTGGATAACTGAGAATCTTCATAGACATGTTACTAAGTTTATGTATCCAGTGATTGCTGTCCTATGGGATCCATCCACCGGTCATCAGCCCTCCTGCTCAACCCCAAACCAAGGGTCAAAGTGGGCTGAGGTGGTAATCAGGGGCCGCAAGAAAAGCGCAGAAAGGTCTGACTCCCTCCCATTCTTGAACCTCTCCAATCGCTATGCTCCATTGGCTGTTTCCAATCTGGTTCACCCAGCTAATCCCCCTGTGCACACTCTTTTTAAGAGGAAGAGGACAGAGGTCACAGGAGTAGGAGTAGAAAAAACTTAGCAGGATGAGCTTGTAAGTTGTATGGATACTAGACAAACTAAATACTAAAATTCACATACTACTTCTGTGTTCACAAACATTTGTTGCTTTTATGTGAGATGAAGGGACCACAGAACGGGGGAGAATCGGGGCCAAGTGAGACACATGTAATGGAAATATCACAGACCGCTCACAAGTTTTAGTAACATTAGGAGAACTTAATACATTTTTGCAGCTGCTTAATGATTATAGTCCATGACTGTGCACCCAAGCCTTTATATTGTGACAACCTTCTATCAGCAATAGGTTTCATCACCGGTGTAAAACCCCAGAAATGGCAATTCGACACACACACTGATTCGTTAACGGATGGCGCCACAATTAAACAGACTGCAAAAATTAAGGTAGTTAAAGCCCTTGCGTTTTTCATCCGTGACTTTCAGCCAAATCCTGTACACTTCACCTTCGGATCATCATTCTATTACATTTGCTGTGCAAAGTTGTTTGTGGAAGCCGGTGAAACATTCGTAACCAAGCAGCAAAAACCCGACTGGATTTTTGACTGACTGACTGGACTATCAAACTCTTTTTCTTTTCTATGACGTTTTGTTTTGTGCCTGAGAAACTGAACCAGCTTTATTTTGCCTGCTATTAGCACTGGACTGAATTTATTTTTGTTTTTAATGAAATGGACTGCAACTAATTTGTGTTTTTGAGATTGTTTGGTTTAAGTGTGCAGAAAACCCAAAGTGGAATTTTGAGTTGGAAAATCTTTAAGTACACCAATATTTTGTTTTTCACTAAGCTTTTGAGTTTGTGGTGTTTCTTCCTTTTATGGTCATTCAGTGGGAGCATGTACAT